AGTTCACTCTAATACTGCTTGTTCATAAGTATTCGATCAAAATTTCTAAATTGTCATGTCCCATAAGGAGTCTGAATACATTCGAACAACGTTGTTGGTACATCGTTGATGAATCACAGGGAAACACTGATCAGCCGAATGGACGAAAATTGATTTCGCGTTAATTAGCACTCATCGATACACTCAACGACTGATTATCTCTTGAGATAAAATCAGTAACTTCTATACTAGCAGTGAATATCTCATTATTCTTATAATTCATGTAGGCCAAACGACTAGACCAGTGATCATATTCTCTGTTATCGAAAATATAACTGAATTCCAAAACATTGTCAGATATGAATAACACCTACACATTCCGTGTTTTAATTAAGCACCTTGTGAATTTAGATAGTTTTACTTTGATTAACATTAACACTTTTAATTGATAAATGGTCCATTAGTTCACTGTACTCACAAAAAAGGCGATGGAATGTTTTCCATCTTGTTCCAACGTGGTTTGTAATTAGCGAGTGTGGGCGAGTGTATATCCAGAGCAGAGTGATTTTTGTTGAAATTGATTAAGAATTCATAATAATACTGTGTGATCGTTTTTCCGTAATACATTGTTTATATTATTTTCAGAATATAAATTATTACATACGATAAATGACTAGTAGTTTATCCAAGACGTTCCAAGTGGTTTGCCATAACCAACAGGATGGTTTGCACCTCAGTTTTGTCTCAATTGGCACTCTACAACAAGATTACTTGTATACAACGAGATGAGTTGAAACCAATATTAGCTTTCAACGAGTTCACTCACACAGTTTGATGGTGCTTTAATGTCACAGTTAGTTTGATAAGTTGGCTAAACCACTGGCATGGAGGATGTGGCAATTCGCTGACAGGATCGAAAACACCACCGAGTGGATTCGTGGACACCTTTCAGCATCACAATCAACAATAATTCCTCAAATGGCAATGTTTCCGGTCAATCACAAACAGTACACAAATCGACCCATCCACTCAATATGACATTTAAAAAACCCCGTCAAACGAAACCAATGTGTGTTCCGAAAACTGAAAAGCGAACTCATAACCTTTGTCATGAAGTGTCTTTATACTGTTTTATAATGTAACAAGTATCTCTAGAACTCCTCACTAACCAATTTCATCTAGTCACTTACTAGTTATCAAAACTGAAGCTCTCAAGTATGATATTCGTGGAGTGATAGCTACAAAGGTCAAACCATTCGGTTCCACATTCTAAGCCTGTCTAGTCTATTTCAATTAGATCGTCATCAGGCTTTACTCTAATATACATGAATATTTATACGAAAATTTTAAACCAATCAAGGCAATATGCGTCAATAATCACAATGAAATAGAATAAGTCACTACACATAAAATAGGTAAAAGTACAAGTTGATAGTAGTAGGAAGACAGGTGAACTGATAATAGTGAGAATAATAAAATACAATAACAAAACTCTTATCAATAGTTAAACGTTGAGAATAGTAAGGGTAGCACAAATCACCTACTAACCAAGCAGCACCGTGACTCTTTAATGAAACTAAGAAAAGATGAAACCCTGACCATAACCAAACCAGATAAAGGAGGAGGTATAGTTCTCATGAACAAAAATGATTACATGGGAAAAATGGAAACAATGCTTAGCGATTCTAGCAAATTTCAGAAAATTACTAGTAATTGTGACGTCAATAATAAAGTCGAAAGACGATTGGCCAATTTCCTTAAAGATCTAAAGAAAAAGGGAATAATTAAGACCGAGATTCACGATTCAATTAAGCCGACTGGATCATTTACACCACAACTCTATGGTTTGCCTAAAGTACATAAATCGGGTCTTCCTCTACGCCCAGTTCTAGATATGTACAATTCCCCTTACCACAAAATCGCAAAGTGGCTAGTACGAATCTTAGAACCTTTACACAAATCAGTTGTTAGAAATAGTGTAAAAGATGTCTTCAATTTCACCTCCAAAGTAGAAAATATTAATGTTAGTATGAAAAATATGATCTCATTGGATGTAGGATCTTTGTTCACCAACGTACCACTTATGGAGACTATTGAGTTTATATGCAAGCAAATATCAGAAAAACAAATCAACATTGGCTTGCCTAACGATAGCCTAAGGGAACTGCTCCTAAGATGCACTCTGAATGTACATTTTGTCTTCAACAATACTTACTATAGACAAATAGACGGGATAGCCATGGGCTCAGCTCTAGGCCCGATTTTAGCTGATCTCTTCCTAGCAAAGCTAGAAAATGAACCTCTCAATGAGACTATTACGAAACTTGATTTATATTGCCGATACATTGACGACACCTTCATCATCGTAGATCAAAACACTAGTAAAGAGGAACTCCTAGACCAATTCAACAGTGTTCACCCAGCGATCACTTTCACTGGTGAAAGCGAGCATGATAAGAAGCCGAACTTCCTTGACGTCACACTAAGCAGACGAAGTGACGGCACATTAAGTAGAAGCGTGTATAGAAGAAACCCCTCTTCATGCCAATATACTCACTTCAACAGTTTCACACCCATTCGTTACAAGAGAAATTTGGTCAGATGTCTCACGAGCAGAGCAAAAAAGATCTGTACAGTAGACACTCTAAGTCAGGAGCTTGAATTTATCAACAACTCACTGACCGAGATCGGCTACCCCAGCGCGTTCATTAAGAAGTACATGTATGATGTAATAAAGAAGTCGGAGATTTCGACTGTTCGTAAGAAACCTTTATACATGAACGTGCAATTCAACGGCGATGTGGCTAGTGACACCCTGAAATATAGGTTAACCAAGGTAATCACCAAGACATTCTACGCAGCCAATTAGATCGTCATCAGGCTTGTCGAGTGGCTATCTGTCTCAAATCAAACTCAATAACCGAAGTGGAGATACTGTGAACTACAGTACGTAATTGCTTGCCTGAGATGAATATAAATTAACGACTGACAAATACATTCACCGATTCGAGCCTACTACTTTGTTACAAATTTTCTAAACACCAACCGCAGTATCAGCTTGAGAAACTGAGGACTATGTTATAGACATCAAACCGACGCGTATTTTGACCATTTTTTATAGTGAACGAAGAGATTTCTTGTTAAGGTCAGTCAGTCAGTAACAACGTAGAACTTCGTACGTACGTACATCAGTTCGAGTTGCCACACCACATTAGCACAGAGATGCAGTGGTCGATTCAAATCCCGTAGTGGTAGAGGTAATAAGAGTATAAGCAGTAATCGGGAAGATTATGGTTTGGAGATGTTATTTAAAGAGTATAATCCAGTGAAATAAATTTGGAAAGAGGAAAAGGAAAGGGATATGAAGAATTCAGAAGATTAGAATTTGGGAGAACATAGAGAGTGGATGCACCTGCGCCATTGCAAACGATTTTGAGCCATGTCATTCAGAGTCTCTAACCATCGGTTGCTATCATCTCGTGGTCCCCAACCAGGTAATCTACACCTACCAACATGACTCACTCAGTTCACTTGTCAGTGACTTCATGGATTTGTGCCATGTTTTGGTCTGGCAGCCCCTAGCTTTCTTCCAACCCACTCCTATACCACAAAACATCACACGTCGGTACAGTAAGTCGTTGGGCATACATAACACGTGTCCAAGCCATCTCAACTGATGAAGTTTCACTACATCATCAATTGATTTGCCATCCTTACCTAGTACCCGTTTCCTAACAACTGCATTACTTACTCGATGGTCCCAGGATATACGAGCAATATTTCGAAGACACCTATGGTCAAATACTAGTAACCTACGAATATCCTCTACTCTTACCGGCCATGTTTCACAGCCATAAAGTAGGACGGAACGAACTGCTGCGCAGTAAACACGTCCTTTGGTTGATAGACGGATATCTCGCCTACGCCATAAATGACGCAAGTTGGCAAAAGCTAGTCGAGCCTTCTGTATCCGTGCTGAGATTTCGTCACACACCAGACCACAAGGGCTGATGAGACTTCCAAGATAAGTGAAGCGGTCGACACACTCAACTACTTCACTCCCTATCATTAGTTCGGGTGTCAATGTAACCCAATCCTGAAGCAACATTTTGCATTTCGAGGGGAGAATCGCATCCCGAACATGCTTGCATTGTTGCTTAGAGTGGTCATAAGACTCTGCATTTTGTCAGCGTCTTCACCAAATAAAACTATGTCATCTGCATATTCTAAGTCAACAAGTGAACCTCCCGGTAGAAGTTCAACCCCTGGAAATTTAGATGAGGAGAGTTTTATCTCTAAAAGTACGTCGACCACAAAGTTGAACAAGAATGGGGAGAGTGGACAGCCCTGACGAACACCACTTGAGGTAATCAATTCTGATGACAGTTCGCCATAAGCTCTCACTCGACCAGTTGTGTTCGAGTAGAGAGCCTTTATAAGGTTAATGTACTTCTTTGGTACTCCTTTCAGTGACAATCACTGCCATAGAACCTCACGATCAACAGAGTCGAATGCCGCCTTAAGGTCGAGAAATACTACGATTGTGGGGCGTCTGAATGTGTGTCTGTGTTCTAGAACCTGACGTAGTGTGAATATCTGATCTATACAACCACGTCCAGGTCGAAAACCGGCCTGGTTTTCTCTAATCTGCTCTTCACGAGCTTTGATTAGGCGTCGAAGTATTATTGAAGCTAATATTTTAGACACTATATTAGTCAAACTGATTCCTCTGTGATTGTCACAAGAGGACTTTTGTCCTTTCTTATAGACTGGCACAATCAGTGATTGAGACCAGTCAGATGGGATTACGTCCAGTTCCCAAATTCTACCTAAGACCTCGGTTAATCTCATTGCTAATACTGGACCACCATCCTTAAAAATTTCAGGAGTAAACCTGTTAAGGTGAATTTTCTAGTGATTACTATCGGTATGTTACTTGATTTGGCCGCATCGCGGTCTTGGACAACGATAACTGACAGCGATATTTCATGTCAAAATTACTTAGTAATCTTGAGACAAAATTAGTGTAAATTACAAAAAATAATGTCGTATATCTGAATTCACACAATTAGGAAATTCACATATTTCAAGGTTACATGATATATAGTGAAGATTGAGATGATTTATCATTTGTTTGTAGTTATGAATATACAAGGGAATCAATGCAGCTCAATTTACATAAGAATGACAAAAGTGAAACAACGAGAATGACAATATTGAATTTCAGTGGAACTGATATTTATGGTATACGAAGTTGAATACATGATTATTAACCATTGCACAATTCTTTAGGCAGTAAAAAAGCATCGTTTAATAAAAGCCAAAAGGAAATAAAACGAAACAGATATCACAAACTGTTATCCTTGTAGTTAATACAACAAAATTTCGTACTTCTTTATTTGGTGAACCATAAACCAAGTTATGATAATGGTTAACAACTGGAGGAAGCATACACCAAATGCAACACAAGCAATAACTATCAGGTTGCGTTTTAAGAATGCTGCGAAGACAGACGCACATCCCTGGAAATGATAAAAGGGAAATTATTACCATACGATATATGGATGAGTAGTAAAATCATTTGAGATATATGTTAGTTCTATACCTGCAGTTTAGAAATAGTGTATTAGAACTGATAGAGTTTCAAGTCGCAAGGGAGGAGGCATGATATTATACGTTAGGGATCAATTTTGTATACAATTAATCAAATCAGAGGCGCATGTTAATGGTAAGTTTGAGGTAGCATGTTGCACAATTAAGTCCAGAAAGGGGTTAGTGACTGTAGGAGGAATATACCGTAGTCCGTGTTGTCTTGCTGACGACTTTATCTTTAGACACATCTCTTCTTGGAGTATGGCACAATGTTGTCTCATCATTGAAAACTTCAACCCACTGCATATCAACTGGATAGCGCTTACAGCTCCAGGTGAGGGTTTCTATAGCGACCTTCTATCAACCATTATTCAGTGTGCACTTGTACAATGTATCGAAAAACCGACACATATTGACTCGGAACATGACCCGTCATTGCTGGACCTTGTCCTCACACACCATTGTGGGGATGTCATCGACGTTCAGCACCTTCCCCTCACTAGTGAATAGTAATCACGTTGTACTGTACTTTAAGTTTAGGACACATGGCATACAATTTGTATCTGCTCCACCCCGTCCCGATATCTGGCGAGCTAATATTCCGGCAATCAGGGACTGTGCTATCTCGACTGATTGGTCGGTTGACATGGATGGATGGATGGATGGATCGAAGACGAATGGAATAAGTTTATGGTCACATTCGAGTCCGCTACATCACCGTTTATCTCATGGTCAACACGTAAGCTAACACATTGCCCACCATGGATTATTAAAGAAACCCGGAAGCTGTTGAAGAGTAGGAAACACTTCTGGGACTTGTTCTTGTCAACAGGACACGCATCATTTAAGTGTGAATATCAGGAAGTTCGGAATATCTATAAAAAGACCATAGCTAAAACCCGTACTACCTACGAACGACAGTTGACATATGATAGTCGTACTTGTCCGAAACCACTGTTTTCTTATGTTAAACGGCGAATATAATGTAGTGATGGTATTTCCCCACTACTGTTACACGAAAATTCAGATTTACTAGCTGAATCAGATCGGGCAAAAGCTGAGACTTTTTCAAACTATTTTAGCAAAGTATACTCTACGTGTATTGTTAAAAATACTCGTCCCAATCACACCGAGATACCACCCAGTGAATCTGTACAGGTGACTGAGGAAACTGTTCTTCCATTGATAACTAACCTCAAACCTTGTGAGATACCGGGCCCTGACGGGTTACATCCACGACTGCTGTCGTCTCTTGCGGACATTATTTCAAGACCGCTCGCGACGCTCTTCAATATGTCCCTTTCACCCACCCAACTCCCTAGAGATCGGAAAGACGCTATAGTCAGTGCTATATTTAAGGATGGTCAGAGGCAGATAGTATCTAACTACCGACCTGTCAGTCTAACTAGCATAGTCGTTAAGTTACTTGGAAAGATAATTCGGGTTAACTTACTAAGTCACATAGATTCACACAATCTGTTAGCTCCTGAGCAACATGGGTTTTGTAACAAGCGTTCGTGCTTGACTAACTTACTTATTGCGAGAGAGGATTGGACAGCAGCCCTAGATAACGGTCTGTCTGTCGATGTGATATTCATGGATTTTAGCAAAGTATTTGATAAGGTTTCACACTTAGGTCTTATGCAGGAGCTCTCCAGCTTCGGAATAATAGGTGCTGTACAGGAATGGATAGGAAACTTCTTATGTGACTGCAGACAGAGAGTGAAGGTCAATCGAATGCTATCCGAATGGAAGCCGGTCAAAGTGGTGTATTCCAAGGCACTATCTTAGGCCCTCTACTTTTCCTTCTCTACGTTAATGAATTACCGCTGTTGCTTAGGTCGTTGACATTATTGTTTGTGGATGACGTAAAAATCTGGAGAGCAATAAGAAGCGAGGCTGATCATTTGGATCTCCAAGCTGACTTAGACGATTTAGTTAGATGGGCTCGAGGTTGGGGCTTAGAATCCTAGGAAGTGTGCTCATGCACATCGGTCACGGTAAGAGTCACCATTATACTATTGATGGTACATCTCTTCCACGCGTTCAAGAACTTAAAGACTTAGGAGTAACAATAAGTCATGAGTTGAAAACAACTACGCATTGCAACGCAGATGCTGTCAAAGGTTTTCGTGCGTTATGGTCGCTTCTCCGAGCATTAAAACGCTTTGACGAGGAAATGTTTCGAATTTTATATCCCACCTATGTAATACCACACTTAGAGTACTGTATCGAAGCAGCTAGCCCATGTCTGGTAAAGGATACTAACTCACTTAAGTGTATCCAGCGTGTGGGAACGAAATTAGTGAAGGGTGTTTCTAAACTCCCCTACGATGAGCGTTTACAACGCCTAAACCTTTTCCCCTTGTCGTATCGTAGAATGCGAGGTGACCTTATACTGGCATTTCGTATCTTTAGTTATGATTTGGGTGTTAATATATCTTATCTTTTTGCTCCCTTCAGCACTAATGATCTCCGAGGTCATAGCAATAAGGTTCACAGACAACGATCTAATAAACTTAAAGTGGGGTCTCGTTTTTTTCATCGAGTAGTCAATGACTGGAACGCCTTACCCGAACAAGTGGTATATTTTCAAGAAGCTGGACCTTCACTGGAAGGCAATCTGTCAGGATTAACACAGGCTTACCAACCTACCATCCTTATTGCTGAATACATAATCAGTAAAAGCACTAAAACACCTAGTATTTCGTTTGCATTAACGTTGCTTTGGACGATTAGGTCAATTTAGTGAGTCAAATCCCAAGCAGAAAAGTAAGACATAATTTAACAAAATGTCCATAGAAAAATTCTTAAACCTGGATTATTGAGATTTCGTGCATTTTGAAGGAGTGGAAACAGACAAGAAAAGGACTGAGACTTAACAAACATCAAATTATGGGCACACAATGACCACAGTGATAGTCTTGTGCAATACCAAAAAGATAAACAACATCCTCAGCCTGCAGTTTAAACCAGCACTTAAGAGAACAGAAACACTCCAAATATAATTCAGGCTCTATATACATATTCGTCTTGGTGGCGGTTACCATGAATCTTGTGATGACTCATCAGGCTTGAGTCTTGGCTTAATCGTTTAACAAATTTTGCCACGATCAGACGATCTAGTTTTCATCAGTTGTCTTGTACTTCATCAGGTCTGTGGCAAACAGGCAAAACTTTACATCTATACACAGAAACATCACGAATGAATTACACAGAATCCAACGACTTTACAAACAGAAATCTTCCTGTAAATACCCAGTTACACCAAATTAGCATGGAATAAACTGTTGGTACGAAAGTTGAGTCATATATAGCTTGACAGTCAAATCCTGATTTAAAAATTCTATGAACGGCATATTCATTTCTACAAATAATATGTCGACTCATTACTAATATCGTAAGCACAGTCGAATAAATTACACTCAATAACCAGTACGTGATAAACAAGTATTTAAAACAACTAAGACTTACTTCCTTGAAGACTGTTCTATCCTTTATGCATGAATCTGGGGCTGCAACTGTATAGTCTTTAGGACCTTTGACTCCACAACATTGAAACTACAGCAGTTAAGGTGCATTTATGACTTACTGATGATTGAATCAAGTCCATGAATAGAGTTACCTCTTTAGTTGGGTTATTTATGGCACTAGTCATGGATTTCTCAAGTCTTTCATCAATCTCTTGCCTGTAAACAAACGCGACAATGGGGACGGCCAATTCAGAAATCAGAAGTACGATGAGGAGGAATGAATACTACAAACTGTGTCTTAGCTAAAGTAACTTACCAAATACAGCATATAAACATTTTCCTTTATAGCCCCACAACAGCCCAAAAAGCTCACTATAAGAACTATCGCTCCAATAATAATTATAATGATGGGTAGTGCTTGCCAGACACTGTGTAAGTTGTCCCCATATTGGCTAAATTTAACTTGTATATATACACCAGTTCCAATCAGAGCAACGGAACACAGCTAAAGGCAGAAAAATAAAATAATCGAATATTATTACTAGACAGATAGTGTTCATAATGAACAAACTGCTCTTTAGGAAACCCATTCCAGACGAGTCGGCTACAGTCTTCGCGTAAAAAACCAACAAACGAAAATCGCTACATTTATATTGAGTTTTTATCAGTAGAACAATCAAACAAACAACTGAGGTGTTCAAAAAGTTGGGGAGGGGAAAGAAGAAGCTCTTACTTAACGGGCTTCTGTCTCTAATAGCAGTGAGTTATTGATGCTTTCAGGTTGAAACCTAAGTATATTACCGATAAAAGAGAAAAAAAGAATTATTGATGTAGTAGTAAACAAATCCCGAAAATAAATAGCTCTGTATGTCTTCGACATTAGATGCTGACCACATTAGTTTCAATGGACTCACCTAGCTGAAGGTGCTCGGTCACGCATCCGCACCAGATCACGAGTGGAAACGCCGTGATCAACATCCCCTGCAGTCACTAGCTAGATTAGATCAGTCGATCCACGATATATTGATAGCATATCAAATATATCTTCGATCTTCCCCGCTTCTGTCTTTTGATTTCACTTGATGGGTACGATTCATACTAGAAGGTGTTACTGCTTAAAGCGTTGTCGAAATCCAGATATCTGTGGCGTCTTCATTGGTGAGTCCGACGTGATCCCAAGCTACTTAAGTTAGAGACTGTAGTGACTCACAACTATCACGAGAACACGACTGGTTTAATAAAAACAATTATTATTATAACCAACTGTACCAGTGTTTGTTTTAATGTGCTTTTGTTTGACTGTGCTAGTGACAGCTATTTTGTACTTTCATTCTTATACTTACACACTTTTGATTGTGACTTCGCGCGAATTCGGTTACGTTCTGTAACCAGGCTTGTATTCTGGCACGATCTCGGTATCATTTCGATACCACGAGATCTCCAGCAAATATATATTAACTTGGTCCATTAACTGTCTTCTGATGTTTGGCTTCTTGGGGATTTTATGGATCTATTTGGTTACGTCCAACCTACGCCTTCTGATTTATTTGGCACGTGTTTCTTGGTAGCGGTGTTCATAGTTAATCTCAACTCGACGCCACGCTACAAGACTATGTCCCAACTTTCGTTCCAACTTATGCCCTTCTGGCCAGACAACATCGAAGCCTGACTCTGTTATGCAGAGGCCGACTTCTACGAGCACGGCGTGAACGACACACGTGCACAATTCCTCGCAGTAGTCAAGGCACTACCGCGCGAATTCATCAGGTACGTAACACCTAGTATGTTTACTAGTGATGTCTCGGAACCCTACGAAACACGAAATCTTCTAATGCCGAGGATTTTTCAGTCAAAGAAAACCCTCGAACGACCCCGAATGACATAACGGAATTGTGTCATACACATACACGTTATCCTAGATTTCGTAACGACCTTAAACGGTCACATACTCGACGAAGAAGCACTACACATAAGCGATCTGTCTCTAGACCGCGAGAGACGGATAACACCGACTGGTGTTGGTATAATAACCAGTATGGAAAGTCCTCCAGAAATTGCAGAAAACCCTGCATTTTTCGAACTCAAAATCGGCCGACACGAAAACCAGTTCGGGGAACTTCACAGCCGACACACGTCAACTGCAGCCGTAGCAGGCGAACATAGCCGTCTGTTATACGTCGTAGATGTGATCACATGACAGAGTCGGGGATCATTCGATCACCAAAGAGTTCATGGGCATCTCCGTTGCACGTGGTCCCTATAAAGGACAGCAACGATTAATGTTCAACTGGTGACCATCGGTGATTGAATGTAAATAACCGTTCCCGATCGTTACCCAATGCCTCACATTCACAATTTGACAGCTACCTCGAAATGCACAACCGTCTCTTCGAAAATCGACTTGGTTAAAGCCTATAACCAATTCCCTATGGCTACAGACGATATACCGAAGACAGCTATCATTACTCCTTTCGGGCTCTTTGAATTTTTGCGAATGCTTTTCGGTCTAAGAAACGCTGCCCAAACATTCCAAAGATTCATGGACGACGTTTTTCGAGGTCTCAACTTCGTACATGCGTATGCTGACGACTACTTAATAGCAAGTTCGAACATAGAATCGCAACCCAGCATCTGGATCTTGCCTTCGAAGGACTACAAAAGCATGGCATCACTGTAAACACTCACAAATATCACGTAGAAACCAACTCCTTAGATTTCCTAGGATACACTATTGATGCGCATGGCATTCGACCTCTGAAAAACGAAGTGGCAGCCATTCTGGATTACCCGGAACCAACCTCGATCAAGGAATTACGGACGGTTCATAACAAAATGCGCATCCCTTATGAACCGTTAACCGGCCAGCTTCGTGGAAATGCGAAATCCATCAGTCTGGACGATACCGCGCAACAAGCATTCTCTACAGTTAAGGAACGTATAGCAACGGCAACTGTGCTCACAAATCAGGACACTCAAGTACCCATTAGTATCTCAGTATACACATCCGACTCAGCAATCGGCGGAGTCTTACAACAATGGGTTAACCACTCCTGGCAACCTTTAGCATTCTTCTCGAGACGGTTGCTAGACACTGAATCGAGGTACAGCACATTCAGTAGGGAACTCCTAGCTACGTATTTTGCTGTACGGCATTTTCAACAGTACATCGAAGGCCGTGAATTCACTCTTTTTACCGATCATAAACCACTTGCTTTCTCTCTATGCTCCTCTTTAAACAAGAACTCACCATGTGAGTGTCGACAACTGGACTACATTTCGCAGTTTACTTCAGATATTCAAAGCATTTCTGGCGCAAACGATATAGTCACAGCCGCCTTGTCTCGAATAACTTCCTTGAACAGTTTCTGAGGAATCGAATTTCTCAAACTCGATTAGCTTCAAAAAGAAGACATCGATCTTCAGCGCGAGTTATCCTCAACAACTCTTAAACTGCGAATCAAACAAATGGTAACAGGTAAGAAAACTTTGCTGTGACATGGTTTCGGCACTGTTGGACGATCCCTACCTGTAGATGTGTCACAGTAAAGTTTTCTTACCTGTTATCATCTGTTTAATTCCCAGTTCAAGGACTGTTGAGGATAACTCACACTGAAGATCAATGTATTCTTTTTGAAGCTGGTCGAGCTTAAGAAGGTCGATCTCTTGGTAACCGTTTAAGGGAGTTCTGCGAGACAAAGCAGCTGTAACTATATTTGTAGCCCCACAAATGTGCTGTATATCTGGAGTAAACTGCGAAATGTAGTCCAGTTGTCGAGATTCTCGAGAGCAGTACTTCTTTGAGGACGAGCTAAGGGGAGTGAGAGTGAATTCTCAACCTTCCACAGAGTGCCGAGAGTGCTGTGCAATATAATACCATGCCTATGAGTTCCCTATCGAAGGTACTGTACCTCGATTCACTTTCTTGCAACTATCTAGGAAAGAATGCTAAAGATTGCCAGGTGTCGTTAACCCACTGTAGTAAGACTATTTTGATTGCCGAGTCGGATGAATCTACTGTGATACTACTGGTGCTTGGATGTCTTATCGTGGAAGCATGGTTGCATTTGCGATAAGTCCTCTAATTTTGTAGAACGGTTTTCTCGCGATATCGACTCAACTGATGGATTTCGCATTCCTACGAAGTTGGTCGTTTAGAAGTTATTATTATTCACAAACATCTTATGGGTACAGATGGTAAAGTACAATGACTGTCTCTCGTCCCCTAGACCAATCACCAGTAGAGTCATCCAGGGAAGCGTATTAGGTCCACTTTTGTTTCTTATGTATATAAACGATATATGAAACACCATAGAATTTGGGAAACCATACTTATATGCTGATGATCTCAAAATAGCATACAGCTATAAGCCTGAGACACTAAGCGAAAGTGTATCCCAGATCCAAAAGGACCTCAATAACTTAACTATATGGAGTGAAAAATGGCAATTACCATTTAACCTCAACAAGTGCGGGATCATGCACTTTGGAAAGCATCCCTATAAACGGCGACTTCACTTAAGTGAATGTAGAGTCCAAACACTCGAATCAGTACACGATTTAGGAATTAATTACTCAGGAAGCCTGAACTTTGATGAACATGCCTCCTCTATTATTTCTAAATCTAGACGGCTAATTGGCTTTATAATGAAAAACTTTTTCACTACAGAGGGTAAACTTACTCTCTACAAAATATGTGTACGACCCTCCCTTGAATACTGCTCTTTTGTCTTCTCTAATATGAATACCACAGACAAGATAAGAGTAGAAGATGTTCAAAGACGTGTAGAATTATGGTCTACTATGATATAATGGCTGCTCTAATAATAGACCTAATCCTAAATTTGTAGATTTGTCATGATATAACTGCCTAATCTATAAGATCTTACGTGGAAGTCACACCATGGACTACGCCAACTCACTGTATCGTATCAATTACCAATACATGGTGTAGAACAAGGTTAGGCTAGAGAAAGAACAATATATTTAATATGAATAGAAGATATAAGATAATATTCAGCAGGGACCACGCCTGCATGGCCGAGCCATGCCGTTCGATCAACTCTAATCCATTCAACTCATTGTTCGCGCCTTCTCCATCGTTAGGTATTTCTCCGTGTTAAATATTGAATATCTATTTTCCGAGTTGTCTCATGTTCAGCTTTGAGGATTGTGTGGTTATGGTCCAATGCCACTACAGACGTTTCACACGTCAACTACTAGGATGTAACTCGAATCTCGATTACACAGACAGATGTAAGCATCTATCTTTAGAACCTTTATGGCACCGTAAGCTAAAAAACAATTTAATATTTGAGATGGTGGAGAAGATTTGTAGCTCAGATGGATGATTTTGGTGGAGTTTTGTTCTCTGAGCTGGATGGTTTGGTCGTGGAGCTTTCATCGCTTTCAGCACAAGTTTGTGCTGATGATGTCGTTCAGAAGAACGATGAAAGCTCCACGACCAAACCATCCAGCTCAGAGAACAAAACCACCAAAATTTAATATTTCTCTACAAAGCGATATATGGGCTCTCCTTTCTAACCTCCTGCCCGACTATCACCCACGACCCAGCCTATAGACTTAGAAACAACGCATATACACTACTTACCGTAAAACACCAAAAACAAATGCGTTGTAAGTTTTTTACAGTACGGTACA